GCCGCCGGCGGGAGCAGGAGGCAGGTGTGGGCGGGCGAGGGAGCTCAGGAGGATGGGGGTATGGTGGTCGCAGACAGAGCGAAGCCCCGGCCTTGGAGCTGCGGGGCCTGGGCATCCCTCCCACGCTCAGCCGGCTCCTCTGCCCTCAGCACTGCGGAAGGCGCGGAGGGAGCAGCAGTTGGTCAGCAAAAGGCTGTTGAGAGACGACGTCCCGGAGGAAGCGGGAGAGGGATGTGAGCCTGCGATCCTCGGGGAAGCCGAGGTGAGGGGGCAGGGCGGGCTGCGCGCTGGAGTCCACGCCCACTGGCGCCAAACCCTTGGGAGTCCTCGAGATCCGCCCCAAACGCGAAGGCGAGCTGCATTTCCATTCATCCAGTGGGTCCGGCCAGAAACTGGGAAGTCATCCTCCACAACTCTTTGACCCTCATCCCCACATCAGCCCATCAAGTCCTCGCCATTCCTACCTCCCAAAGAACTTTGGGGCCTTTACCGGCCTCGCTCAGTAGCTGCCACCACCATCTGTTCTCTGTATACTGCAGCAGCCTCCTAAAAGGTCACCCGGCATCTACATTTGCCACCCTTAGCGGGTCTTTTAAAACACATGGAGCCCGCGGGTTCGAGACCTCGTCTCTACAATAAATCAAAAATTAGCTGGGCGTGGTAGCACGCGCCTGTAGTTCTGGCTACTTGGAAGGCTGAGGCGGAAGGATCGCCGGAGCCCAGCAGGTCGAGGCTGCGGTGGCCGTGAACGTGCCACTGCACTCCAGCCTGGGCGATGGAGTGAGACTCCCAACTTGAAAAAAAGAGAGAGAGAGAAAAGATGATCGGGCTCGGTGGCGAAGCCCGTAATCCCAGCACTTTGGGAGGCCGAGGTGAGTGGATTGCCAGAGCCTACGGCTTCGAGACCAGTTCGAGCAACTTTGGCGAGACCTCGTCTCTACAATAAATCAAAAATGAGCCGGGCGTGGTAGCGCTCGCCTGTAGTTCCAGCTACTTGGAAGGCTGAGGCAGAAGGATCGCCGGAGCCCAGCTGGTTGACGCTGGGGTGGCCCGAGTGGCCAACTAAAAAATAAAACAAAAAAACACATACATGGAGACCCAAATCCTTCCTGTGACTTGCGAAGCCTAGCGTGGTTTAGCCTCTGCCTACCTCTAGTTTTATCAGCTTACTTATCTTAGCCACTGTCCCCTTTTCAGTTCCTGGAACGATGTATGGGCTCTTTCCTGTCTCAAGCCTTTTGCCTTGGCTAAGTCTGAAGTGGATTTCCCTTGGTATTTTGTCTTGGTAGCCTATTTATTTCTTGCGGAACATTAATCATTATCTAGTTGCTTGCTTGTTTATTATAAACTAGACTTTAAATCCACCAGAAACTGGATTATATCTTATTTGTCATCACTGAAAGCCCAAATGTCTGCATATTATCTGGCATATAGTAGGTGCTCAGTATTTATTGAATGAATGAATGAAAGGATTTATTCATTCAGCAAGCATTGAGCATTGCTTGTGTTTGTATTGCCTATATTTACACACAGTTTTCAAAGAATTGGGTTATACTGATTTTTCATTGTGTGCTTATTTTATGTCAGGACACTGTGCTGGGTACTGAAGTACACAAAGATGAAAAGATAAGAGCCCTTTTTTCTTTTTTTTTTGAGTTAGAGTCACACTTTGTCGCCCAGGGTGGCGTGCAATGGCATGCTCCCAGCCACCACAGCTGCGACCTGCTAGACTCAGGTGATCCTTCCGCCTCAGCCTTCCAAGTAGCTGGAACCACAGGCACACACCACCACAGGCACCCACCACCAATTTTTAAAACTAATTGTATAGATGAGGTCTTGCCAAGATGCCCAGGCTGGTCTTAAACCACTGGACTCAGGCAATCTCGTCTCTGCCTCCCAAAGTGCTGGGATTACAAGTGTGAGCTACCGGGCCCAGCTAGAGTCCCTTTCTTTGAGTGCTCACAGCCCTGTGAAGGAGACATGTGCTACACCTGTCATGATGGAAGGAAACATGAGGCACAAGACAAAGTCCCAAGTGTGCCAAAGGAAACCAAAAAGAACTGATTTCCCAGTCAATAAGGAGCAGAAATCTGAACAGAGTGGGAAACTGGGGAGGGTATCCAGGCAGGGAGAATAACTTGGGCAAAAGCTTGGAAGTGTTAAAAACCACTGTTTATGTTATGCTAGTTGTTGTTAAGAGTGTAGGTTGCATGGATAGAATGGCTGGAGGAGTAGGTTTTGCCAGGCTGAGAGGTTTAAATGTTATCCTTGAAATAATGCTGTAAGAAGGCAGGGTAGATATCGTTATTCTCATTTTTCACATTAAGAAACTTAGGTTCCATGTAGAATAAGTGGTAGGGCTAGTATTAGAATTCAGTTCTGATTCTCTCCTCTGTCCACTCCACAACAAGGTTGGTGTATTACTAGCTGTATTAGTGTGAATTACAAGTTCTGGGGGTGGTGTGATATTGGAGAGCTCACAGGCCAAGTGGGCAGAGAGAGATTCAGGACTTACTTCCTAGCAACTATTGTTCTCCCCCTGCTCTGGGCTGTAGGTTCAGCAGTGCCTGCGGCTAGCCCAGCGGGGAACAGAGGAAAAGGAGCGAGAAAGGGCGCTGGTTAGCCTTCGCCGAGCCTTGCAGCACCTTGAGACGCAGCAGACATTCATCCGGTCAGTGTGGGTGATATGAGGCTGGCTGTGACTGAGGGGCGGATCACAGGCTAAGTAGGGCTCTGCTGCCCATTCCTGTAGGCTGGAGGGCAGCATGCGGACCCTGGTTGGGCTCCTGACCAGCAATCACGCCCTGCTACAGCTTGAGGCAGCTCGGTGCCTACATGAACTCTCTCATTCTGAGCAGTCTGTGGTGGCTGAGGCCTGCCTGCCAGCCACTTCCTACCTCCTCACCTACCTCTCCGGTCACAGCTCAGACTTCATAGTAAGCCCTGTTCCTTCCTACCTTGTTCTTAGCTTATGTCTGAAAATTGTGCTTTTGGGTCCAGTTTGAGCTGACAGGTGGGGGAAGAAAACCTGTTTCCCTTGATGCCCTCAGCCATGCAAACACCCATAATCTCCCACCCCCTCGAGCCTCAAGGAGACAGAGCTGCTACATACTCCCCAGAGCCCCCTCCTCACCTGGTGTGGGACTTGCCAAGCCCAGTGCCTTTGTTGCAGGAGCTGTGTCTGTATACACTGGGTAACCTGATTGTGGAGAGTGAAACTGTGAGAAGGCAGCTCCTGCCACAGGGCATTATTCCAGCCTTAGCTGTCTGCATCCAGGTGACTACCTTCTTTCTTCCTCCCTGGGCAACCCTCCCCTTGCTTCTCTCCACATACCCTACCTATTATGGTTAAGTAGCTAGCCTCTGCCTTGTGCAAAGGGGCTGAGTCTTAGGAGACTGTATGACCCAGCTTCTAGAGTCAGATCCTTACCCTGTCTTCTTCCAGTCCCCCCATGTGGCTGTGCTGGAAGCACTTGGATATGCCTTATCCCAGCTTCTTCAGGCTAAGGAAGCTCCAGAGAAGATCATTCCGTAAGTAAAATGTGTCTCCAAGATGTGCAGCCAGAGGTGACCCACTCAGTAGTGCAGCACCTGGATGTCTGATTTCCAGAGCTGTTGCACATTTTAAGTGCATGTGTCTGACTAGGAAGGGCTTTGGGTTTGGATACTTTCCCACCTGCTGCCTGGGTTTGGGGAAGAGTCACCGGCATCTTTGTGGTTCCTACTCACAACCCTGCTTCTGCCAGCAGCTCCATCCTGGCCTCCACTCTCCCTCAGCACATGCTGCAATTATTGCAACCCGGCCCAAAGCTGAACGCTGGGGTCGCTGTGGAATTTGCCTGGTGCCTTCATTACATCATCTGCAGGTAACACAGGCCAACTGGGAAAGTACCACAGACCTTCCTTGGGGCTTCCTTCCATGACACTCAAATCTTTGAACTTCAGTTTCTGGAATTGCTATCCCTCCATGGTCCTCTCTTTGGAGTCCAGGAGACCTACAGACCTAGGCTGTTTCTCGGCTTAAATATGGAGTTGATTGGATAGTGACTGCTTGCCTCCTGTTGCCCAGCCAGGTCAACAATGCCCTGCTCATCACCTATGGGGCTCTGTCTACTCTGGGCCTGCTACTGTTAGACTTGGCTGGCGCTGTTCAGAGAACCGAGGATGCAGGACTGGAGCTGGTAGGTGAAGGGGACAGGTCAAAGACTGGGAGACATTTTTTCATATTCTGCCCATCCTCCTTACACCTAAACCCCAATTCCTCTTTGCAGCTAGCATGCCCTGTGCTTCGGTGCCTAAGCAACCTGCTACCAGAGGCAGCGGTGGAGACTATGGGAGGGCAAATGCAGCTCAGAGATGAGCGTGTTGTGGCAGCTTTATTTATCCTTCTGCAGTTCTTTCTCCAGAAACAGCCTAGCCTGCTTCCTGAGGGCCTCTGGCTCCTCAACAACCTCACTGGTATGCACTATAATCTGTTTAGGTCTGGACATTTATACTGGGGATATTTCCTTTGTGGCCTAGATTGAGGTGGATAGGATTGG